CATCACGGTAGGCGTCCATTCAACAGGTTATGTTTAATCCGTGTCTACTTACTCGAAAACAGCCCCTTGTACTCGCAGGTTCTTAAGGACCAGTTTTCAAAGCGCATAATTGTCTGCGAGCAATCGGGCACATCGTCAGACAGACAGGGAATGGTTTTCTTCCAATGCAAAGTGACTTCTATGTGCTGTTGTATTAAATGCGCATTAAATTCGGACAACACCAATAACCTTCTATCCTCCACTGAGTATACATTACCCAAGAGCTCCGGTTCGTCGAAATCAAATTTTCTCATATGTATTGGCTTTGCTTCAGAAGATGGCTGACGGAGCAGACCTTCACTTCTAGTCCCTCCAGTCCTTCTATCGCGCCAATCTGAAAATGCATCTCTACGGTGCTTAGTTCCGTCGTCCAAACGATAGTAAGTACTGACAGCACTGCCGGTTGGTCATTGATAACTTATTGTTTCAACAGGTCTTCGTAGATGAGCGTGCTGTCTGAGTCACTATCAAGGAAGGCGTACGTGTTTACCGAACCCAAAGCTCCAAAAACCTTCAAAGAAATGACTTACCTAGCACCGTATATTGTGAAACAGTGAATTGCATCAGTATTGTGCTCTGTGTCTTACCTCATCAGAAACTTATCAATCCTCTCTTCCTTACGGAACATAGTGGACGATTGGGCATGGAACAGCAAGAGACACCGTATGAATTAGCTGATCTTAAATTGATGGTTCCATGATTCGGTTTTAAACAACAGTGGCACACTTGGAAACTTTCAACGAAGCCTAGTCATTGCGATAAGGTGAGGGGTAAAAGTGCCGGATTGGTCGGCCTAGTGAGCTTCGTCAGACTACAGACACTTTGAAAGCAGGATTTTGCGGGTTTCGATGCAGAGGGTGTCGCTATATCTTGCTTATGATGCGTATGGACCTTGTACATCCATCTTTTATCATCTTCCGGTGAATTTGGCTAGAAACTGGGCCACCAGTACGTCCGTCCACTCGTCCACGATATCAGATAGATTCAAGAACTCCGGCCCTCTACCGAAAGGTAATATTTATGAGCTAGTTTTAATGATTTTTACTGTAGTGTTTGGACAAGTCCTCTGTCGAGGTCTTACACTGCTGACCGCTGATTTGAACACCACTGTTGGCTCGTCAAGACAGTTTTTAGAGAACATTAAAGGGGTAGGCTTCCTGTTAAATAACGTTATGGAAAATTTTGATGCAATGTCCATGTTTTCTTCTATTTCACTGGACCTGACGGTCAAGCCACTTCCTTGTTAACTGCAAACATGATTGAATTTAGTTTGTAGTTGGAATCCTTCAATAACTCTTACAAGACAAATATGATGAAACGGAGAACCACCCCAGACACGCCCCAGTCTTCCAACTCATAATTCCCTGTACCAGGCATTCTATGGTTCGACGGAAATACATACGAGTAGGTGGAGTGTACGACAATAAGTTCGTTGATTTCGAAGGCCGCAGATCCAGAGAGCGCAGATCTTTAATAATTTGTAATGATAATTTCAGCTAAAGAAAAATCATCCGGAATTGGACAAGGGCATCAGAATTATACTTCGAACGCGCCAACGTTTAACGGTCGTTGGCAATTTTTCTCCCATCTGATGAACCGTACTGGATTGAGCTGCACCTGCAAATTGTTGACTGGCTGTAAAATGTAGTTTGTCTCAACTCCAGCGGGGTTTACCAGTGTGAAGGATACACTTGTGTCCCCGATTTTACCGGTGATCCGCAAGAGTTTATAGTCCTGACCATCGACTTTCTCTGAAACATTCAAATAACAGTTAAATGCCCAGCCGCTCTCTCATTTCTCAGTTTGTCAGCACTAAATTTCAACTAACCGTATGGTAGAAACACCTCCGCGCCATCAACAACCGTATTCTTTGGGTACTTTGAAATGGGGCCCTCAAGTTTTATTTCCTTCAGAATGTAGAACAGATTTCATGCAAGTATCAAGTTTAACATATACACGTGTATGCACAATCTTCCGAGGGCACAATGGCATCAGATATCTTAAACGCCGTTCCAATTCGAAACAAATTATAACACACCTCGGCACGAACTGTAAATGAAGGTTTGCTTACCTTAATGTCTTTATCAAACACTAGTGTCAGCGAGTCCATAAAATCGCGTTTGGCGCAGAATGATTCAGTAAATAAGACACTATAGGGCTCTGTCAATGGAAGGAAAATAATAAAAATGATTAACAGATTAAGTTACGACTGAAAACGATGGCAATGCATGATTCAGAACAGTTTAAATATTAAGTGCACACAATTGGCGACGTAAAGAGTGCAAAATCGTTTATAGAAATATGTACTGGGATAGCATTTGGCACTTCTCACTATCGCCACTATGGCGTTTGACAGTCCGGAATCTTCAGGAATGAGAAGAAGCCGTGCGTTGTCAGTCTTGGGATCTCCATATATTTGAAGACTGCGTTTTGCTGTCAAGACAGAAAACACCTGTATGTAAGTAAGGTTTTGTTTAACGAGCATCGTAGTTGCCACTGCGATACACTAGGCCAAACCAAGCATATTGAGGTGCCTAAGTGCTTCGCAAACTGCAGTCAATCCAGCCAGTCAAGACCAGTAAGGGCTTAAGGAAGCATGTGGGTTAACTCAGTGTTACACGGCAATATAAAGCACTCTTACCAATTCTGAAAATAAAGCATTTGAGATCTGATTTGTCTAACAAAATGCCTTACCGAAATAAAATCGAAGAGAAACGTGCTAATCGCTACTTTCGATCATAAGTATGCAATAAAAACCATATGAATTCTGATCCTTCTAAGCAAACTCACATGGTAGTAATTGCACACACATGTTAAGCTCCCCGCAGTCTTTGTCGAGCTCGCTTTCGACGAATCCTGAGTCCGTTTTGCTTAACTGTGCGAAACAAAAATGTGAGTGTTTGCTGACATTGATTATGAACTTCAGCGGTGTATGAAATATTTAATTGACGCACCGAACTTGAGGCATCGACTTTTATGACAATTTCGAAGTTTGTGTTCATTGGCACGCTATATATGT